AAATTTCGCCTACGAGTTTATATCACTGTCCTTGTTCATGTGCATCTTTGACTATTTGTCTTGAGAGGAAGAATGTTCAGAGTTACTCGGGGAGAGCAACTCAGGGGAGCAAGGTGAGAAGCATACAGAAAACGGAGCGACTTCAGCCGACTGTACAATACACCCGGCTGCCCTCCAAAATCTTCGCCTTCTCTGATCAACTCGAACACCTCCAGGTCGCTGAAACGGTGGCTATTCATGATTATGGCGTCGCGTTCTGTCCAACAAATTCATCTCTAATTGTTTTGATTCGGAACAACATGTATATGCTTTGCGTTGGTTGCAAGTACTTTCTATTGAGCGAGTCGACCCGGCTCACAGCAAGTGGAGGGTTCAAGGGATAGGGATGGCACTGAGGCCAGTCGCCACTAAGGCAAAGTTGTTCATTCTCTAAATATGTGCTTTTTTATTAGAGCGGGCGCGATGACATAGTGAAGCACATCACAACGCTTTTCCAGTTTCTACTGAACGACCATCTATTTTGATTTTGACGCAGGTCCATGGAAGCAAAAGAAAAAAAAATGACTTTCTAACAAGAAGTACGAATACACATAATTCCCTCTCAAGCAACTAAGGAGATCCATAATGTCATAATGGTTACTATTCCCATAAACAATTGTGCTCCCCAAATCTCTGTTGAGATATTTGCTAGGCACCTACATATAAAACTCTTATCAAGATACTTGAAGATACTAATAAAATAACACGTAACACCACAATGCATCTAAGTGGCACACAAATTAATTTATATATGAACGTTATTTTTCATTTTCTCAGATCTATATGGAATTTAAATTGCTTAAATATCCTAAACATATATTAAAAATAACATAAGGTTGTTACAATTATAGTAATTTTAGTGGAAAATGTTGAAATGTAAAATAGTTATTTTTAAGTTACTAGTTGTGATTTATGTTGTTAGGTATAATACGAAAAATAATTGAATTTGTGTATTAACGTCGTATCAATAAAAAACTATTTATGTATAATTAATATTATATGTAAATAAGTATAAAAATTTAATATAAATGGATATCAATCATAGCTATAAATTTTCTAACTAGTTAATCAATAAGAATCTAACACTATCATATACATTTTTATTGTGTTTTTATATGTATTTCTTATAATGTCTACTTATGGCATCGATGTTGTTTCTCCATATATTTTTTTTCTTAATTTTTCCTTTATACATTTTTCAAAGGATCACCAGTTCGACTAACCACAAATTAGAAGGTTTCTAATCACAAAAAATAGTCCTATTAATACATGAATAATATTTGGGAAATACAAAACTTTCATAACAAACTCGTCAAAATAGAAATTTGTTTTTATATTTGGACTTTCAAAACAAAATATTACTTATAGAAAAATAGAAAAATACATACTATGTTATAATTATTTTCAATCATAAATTTTATATTTGTGTATCTCACAAAAAGAAATCGAATGAGTATCAAAATTGTTCGCGTAGAATATGCATGTTACTTCCATATATTTCACCAATTTTTTTTATAGTTCACAAAACATGATAATGTTGCTCACAAGGCTTTTCATGATTTTTTCTTAAGAAATACTTGTTTTGATTGATCAAAAATATGTTCATGGATCTTAAAATTTTGTTTCGTAATTCACAGAAAAATTTCTTTTATTCATAAAGCAAATAACACAATGAACAGTTCCTACGCTACATACATTTAAGAAATAATGAACATTTATGTGGATTTTTCAAGAGAAAAACAATGATTTTTTGTATTGAACAGTTGTTTTGTTGTAGAGAATAAATTCATAACATGGAGTGAAATAATTTATATTAACTAAAACATTAAATAAAACAAACTACAAGGAGGCGCTGCCCTAGGCGTCCTCGTCGTCGTTGGGGCCGGTGAGCGTCGGGGCCGGGCTAGCCCAAGGAAACGTCGTCGACCAGGCTCTAGCAACATCGTCCGCCGTGGTACCGCCGCCGACTGGGTTGGCCCACCGCAGGCAAGGCGCTCCTTCTCCACGTCGCGCTCTACCTGCTCGAAGTACTCGCCCTCACGACGCTCCTCAGCCAGCCTTTGCTGCTGCCATTGGTCAAGGTAGGCCTGCTCCTGCGCCGGCGTCGCCCCCAACCAGACCGGTGGCGTGCTGACCCACTCGCACACCACTCCAATCCATGAGTAGTGCTCGATGGGGTCGGTACCGGCTCGGCCTTGACGGGGACGGCGCCCTCAACGGCGGCACGACGCAGTCGCCGGCCACGGAGAGCGCCATGGCCTTCATCATGCGCGCCTGGTACGCCTCAGCCTCCTCCTACTCCTTGCTGCGCTCCTCCTCCTCGCTTTCACGGAGGACTGCCGCCAGCGCTGCCTGGTAGGCGGCCTCCGCTTCCTGGTCCTCATCATGCACGACGAGGGGCGGCAGCGGGATATACCGCACATTGTGGACGCAGCGCCTCCTGGCCTCCTCATGCTCGAACGCGAACCACTGCTCCCAAGGAGGAGAGTCGAGTGCATAGGCGGGATCGCGACGCTGCTCCGGCGTCAGCAACTGCCACCGGCGCCGCACCTCCTCCGCGTGCGCACGCGCCGACCGCGGCGCTGCCGGCACTGGGATCCTCTTCAGATCCAAGTGTCAGTCGTGTGGCAGCGTCATGCCGGGATATGGGAAGGGGACGCGGTGCTCCCAGTGCCACCTTGCCTGGTGCACTGGGACGTTGAGACGCTCCCGAGGTCGGTTTGAAGACGTCATCGGAGGCGGGGGGAGGCGGGGGAGAGGGGCAGCGGAGGCCTTGCCCTTGTCCTTGTCAGAGAAGAAGCCCATGGCGGTGGCTAGGGTTTGTCGCCGACGGGGGAGCACAGTGGGTGGTGAGATGGGGATAGAGGCGTCTGGAAGCGGATGAGGACAGCCCCCCACCTCACGCTCGGATTAAAAAAAGGCTGACCGCCGTCGCTGACGCGTGGACCCGCGGTGGGCAGTCGTCATTAATAAAGACGACCGCGGTAGTTCGGCGGCCGCCGGGTGGGGACATGGCGGACACCGAGATGACGTGTGGAGTGTCCGCTTCGCGTCCGCGCTGACGCATTTCAGCCCTAAATTTGGGCCGTAAATTTGGGCCGCAAATGGGTCTATGTGAACACGAAGCGGACACATTTTGAAAATGAGTCGACGTGTTGGGCCAGCATTTTTGTCCATGGTGGCCCAAAGGAACGGTGACAGACGAAATAGATGCGCTGGAGCTGCTCTTACACACTGAGGGAAAAAAGCTATATATAAAGGGTGACGCTAGGCGCCGGCGCACCGACCCAAACGGTTCGGCCGGTCCAACCCTAACCACCCGATCCAGCGAGCAACCGTCCGATCTGTGTGTTGACTTCTCCCTCTCCTTCTTCCTCTCCGCGCGCAGCGCGAGCGCGGCTCCCTGTCGCCTGGCTGTCCCCCTGGCCCGTCGGCCGCTACCCCCTCACCTGCAACCCCTCTCTCCGCCGCTCCCGTGCCGCTGGATGCTGCACTCGCCGCCGGCCGCCGCCGTCCAGATCCACGCATGCAACAAAACTTCACCCGTGGGTTGCAGCTCCCCTCGTTGGCGATGGATGCGGCTCCGGCAACACCAGACGCCGGTTGCAGCTCTGCTGGATGCAGCTCTTGTTGCCGCCGGTTGCAGCTCGACGTCTGCCGTTGCTGCTGGGATGTGGCTCACATGGCCGCCCGTTGCAGCTTTCTATTGCACGGTCGTAGCAAATGGAGAAAACGGTTGCAGCAAAAAATTCTGACACCGTCGTCGCCGTTTGTAGCTCGTCGTTGCATGTAGCAGCCATTGCGTTCTAGAAAAAGAATGGATGAAGCAAAAAGCTCCAACGATAGTAGCAAAATCCTACTACGGTTGCAGCAAATCGTCGTTGTCATCGTCGCGAGGTCGCAGCTCCACCTGATGGATGTAGCAAAAAACTTCGCCGGTAGTAGCAAAATCCAACCACTGTTGCAACTTTCCTTTATTGTGCAATGCCATTGAAGCTTTCTGTGTCTATGGTTGAAGCTTTTTTCAACAGCTGTTGAAGCTTTCCTAGGTGACGGTAGCAACACTTTATGCGGGTTAGATCCAAGCATGGCGGCAGGCAGCCATGGCGGCCGGCGAGGGGAGCTCCTGGCCGCCGGCGATGGAGCTTGTGGTGGCCCATCGCAGCCCGCGAGGAGGGAGGAGGAGATGTGCGCTTGTGAAGGCTGTATCTAGGAGATGGACATGGCCATGGCAGCAGGCAGCCATAGCGGCCGGCGAGGGAGCGCCTGGGCGTCAATGATGAAGATCGTGGTGGCCCAGTCGCAGCCCAGGAGAGGGAAGAGGGGGAGGGATGCGCACGCGTAAGGTTGAAGGTAGGGGATAGAGATGCATAGAAAGTTCGGCCGGCGCACCGCGCCCAATCGTTTCCATATATAAAAGGAAAATGAAGTATCTCATATATGCGGATTTGGTCTGGTCCCATCCCAGTGGACAAAACCAGCCGCTCTGCCGCAAAAAAAACAAGACCGGCCGGGCGTCGACAGCGAACGGTGCGGCGCAAGCAAGCAAGCAAAGGTGCAGTGGGTCCAAAAGCACCCGGTTTCCTGGAAAACCAGCACCGGCAGTCGCTTGTTTTGCTTCGTCTCGCCCGTATATAACCCCGTCCGACTCCCACTCTTCCTACCATCAACACAAACAGGCATCAACTCACTGAGACAGTTCAACAAAATCAAACTAGCTCTGTTCAACTTCGCAAGTCCACACAAGGATCACAAGTCAGTCTCCACTCTCCAGCAGTGCAGCAAGAACAAGAAGCGCAGGAGAAGCAATGGCTGGTCCGGCGAAGGCGTCGTGGATGGTGGCCATGAGCGTGGGCGCCGTGGAGGCGCTCAAGGATCAGGCCGGGCTCTGCCGCTGGAACTATGCCCTCAGGTCCATCCACCGGGCTGCCAAGGCCAACGTCCGTGGGGGCGCCTCGCAGGGCACCAAGCAGCTTCCGGCCTCCGCGGTGGCTGTGGCGGAGAGGCGGCGAGCGGAGAAGGCCGAGGAGGGGCTGAGGACCGTCATGTACCTCAGCTGCTGGGGCCCAAATTAGGAGTACTAGTAGCTTAGGGATGTTGTGTTCGTTGCAGGTTGTGCTTATGCACAACCCCATGATCGATTTGTAAATACAGCAAGATGATGATGATGAAAATTTCGGCTATGAATTTATCTCACCCTCTTTGTCCATGTGCATCCATGACTAATTTTTGAAAGGCAAAAGCTTGATGCTTGTCAAAAGAGGAACAATGTTCAGAGTTACAGTGGGGAGAGCAACAGAGCAAAATGAGGCATAAAGAAAACAGAGCTCAGCTGCCTGTACCGAACAACCAAACTCTGAAGAAAGGGTAGAAGAGAACAGAGGAGTTGGATCTCAGCGATACACCCGGCTGCCCTCCAAGATTTCACATCTTCTTTGGTCAAATTCGAACACCTCCAGGACGCTGCAAGCGGTGGCCGTTAGAGATTATAGCTCTGTGTACTTTGATGGAGTCGACCTGCTGCATGTGACTGAGATTGTGGCGAACATGTTCTGAATTTCTTTGCTCTGCAGTCTGCTCAAGGGACACGAGATCTAATTAAAGTGAGCCTGATCAGAGTGATGACATTAATAAGACAGTATTAATAAGTTAACTATAAACATGTTGTCGTTTTCTCTGTTCACAGTGAGACAGACACTCCTCTTCCCAGTTGCAGACGCGCCGTGTAGAATATGCGCACGATCATGGTGTCATGGAGAGGATGCATCCTGACCAGTTACTAATTTGACGATTTTCTGAATGATTTTGGGAAGAGGATGGATACAAGTTGAAGAAAACACCTTACTGCTACGCTATTCTAAGAGATACTTCTACTAGATTTAGGGAATTTTTCTTCTTATTCATGCTCTTTTTTTTTTGCGCATATTCTTCTTATTCATTCTACACAGAGAAGGGCATATATATAGCCGGATAGCTGAGCGATTATAGAAGTAAACCATATATGAGCTCAATACTAATAGCACTAATAGCCGTTGGATCTCTCCATCAAATGCGCACCATTGGATAACTGAATGTGTCGGCTCACTTCTTTATCTCTGAAGGATAACTGAACCAGTCGTGTTGAGATTCTCTCCTTGCTAGGGCCTGAGCCTGACACATGGCCGGCCGGCCTCATACGAGTCTCCCCGATAGCATGTGTTCCCAAAAATGTTATAGTTAACCTACGTGAGTACGAGTAATCAAGCAGATCGATGTATGGCGGATTATTAACCTCCTCGCGGTGTTTAGGCCCCTGGTATCGTGGAAACCATTTCCTCGAGGCTCCAGCATGCGACAATTCAACAAAATTAGCTCTGTTCAGACGAGCATCAATTCAGTGAGACAGTTCAACAAAATTAGCTCTGTTCTTTCATCACCGCAACTTTGCAAGTCCACCGGCACTAGACACAGCAATCACAAATCAGTTTCCACTCTCTAGCAACGCGGCAAGAACAAGGAGAGGCGATGGCTGGTCCGGCCAAGGCGTCGTGGATGGTGGCCATGAGCGTGGGCGCGGTGGAGGCCCTCAAGGACCAGGCTGGCCTCTGCCGCTGGAACTATGCGCTCAGGTCCATCCACCGAACAGCCAAGGCCAAAGCCAGTGTCCGCGGCGGCGTCTCGCATGGCAAGAAGCAGCTTCCAACCTCTGCGGCCGCCGTGGCGGGGAGGTGGCAAGCAGAGAAGTCTGAAGAGGGGCTGAGGACGGTCATGTACCTCAGTTGCTGGGGGCCAAATTAGTAGCACTGATAGCTAGGGAAGCATGCAGCCATGGCCCGCGACCCTGATCGATTGTAAAGATACCACGACGACGACGATGATGATGATGATGAAAATTTCCGCTACGAGTTTAGAATTTATATCACCCTACTTGTCCGTTCATGTGCTTCAGTGACCTTTTTGAAAGGCCAAAGGACGATCTGTATCAAGAGTGGGAGAAAGTTCAGAGTTACACATAACACATGGAGAGTAACTCAGCAAAGCGAGCCTTTCTACAGAAAATAGAGCACCTTTATATGCCTCTACAAAGCAGCCAAACTCTGAACAAAGGGCAGAACAGTGAAAAACAGAAAAGGAGTTCGACCTCAGCGATACACCCGGCCGCCCTCCAAGATCTCAGATCTTGTCTGATCGATTCGAACACCTCAAGTTCGCTGCAATGGAAGCCGTTACAGATTCTGACGTTATGTTTCTTGCAACATAAGGTGTGACTAGGACACATCTAGATCTGACATAACTATGTCACATCTAAATTATAAATTATAAATTATAAATTATAAATTATAAATTATAAATTATTTTTTCAATGAAAAAAGTAAAAAAGGAAACGAAATCTGGTGAAGAAAAAAATGAAAAAAGAATAAACAAGGAAAAATGTGAAGAGAACAAACAAACACACAAGTTGGGAGTCGATGGTCTGCTTGCAACTGGGAGCACCGACAAACATACACACCCCTAGTTGCAACTGGGGACCCTCCACCACACACACACACACACACACACTCCAAGTTGCGAGTTGATGATCAACATGCAACTGGAGACCCTCAACAAACACACACACCCCCTAGTTATGAGTCAATGGTTGACATGACACTGCGGACCCTCAACAAACACACACACACACACACCCTAGTTGTGAGTCGATGATCGGCTTGCAACTGGGGCACTGAGAAAAACAAACCCCTACTTGCGAGTCGATGATCGGCTTGCAACTGGGGACCCTCAATAAACACACATACCCCTAGTTGCGAGTCGATGGTCGGCATGCAACGGACCCTCGACAAACACACACTCCCCTAGTAGCAAGTCAATGGTTGACATGCAACTGGGCACACCGACAAACACACACTCCCCCTAGTTGCAAGTCGTTGGTCATCTTGCAACTAGAGACCCTCGACAAACACACAAACACCTAGTTGCGAGTCAATGGTCAGGATGCAACTGGGGACCTTCG